TGTATAATAATGCAATGGGGGAATATTTGTGGGTCCTGATAATGCCAAATACCTTATGTTACCAGTAAAACTACATCATTTTAAATATATCTACTCAGTGACAGAGTAAAGCATATTCGTCTAAAATAATAATGTTTTCAGCTTCAGAATCATGAATATGTTTATTCTGGTGTCTCTGGTCCTGTTTATTGGGTTTCCAGCACCAAGTCCAAGCCTATTCATTTACACACACAATGTAAAACCAATTTTTCACCATTTTAATCAACAGTACATTTTTTGTTTACCGTTGATCATATATGTCTTGGAGTATCGCAATAATATTGTATCGTGAGATGTAGTGACCACTAACTTAGCTCCTTAAACCTGCAACCGAACCGTCTTTTATCCGCTCTGTACCAGCCAGCACTGTGGTGTGAAAAGCTGAAAACCCACTGGCGGCCCCACAGAGGCCTGGGATTGAGCAATGGAGGCGGGGAATGCACCTGGCGACGGGAGGAGCGGGGGCGGCTGCTATTTTTATGTTGAGTTCGACAGTTGGGCGGCTGAGTGGGTGCAGATCAAAACCTGACCCCATCTCTGCACAGTGAACACTTGAAGATGCATGAAGGCCTTTACTAGCCATGAGCTAGACCCTACACCTCCATCAGGCACACTGCTTCAGCCTTTTACACATCAACACATGCACATGCCTTAAAAGGCAGCACACCGCTCACAGGCCGACCTACTGACCCACTCGTGAACAGCACATAACTCCACAGCACTGGCTCTCAGCTGGGGGGTCGCCACCCACAACAGCTCTGTTCTCATAAGGTAGTGCTAAATACTATGAAAAATGAAAAAAAATTAAGTAAAATCACGCAAGTCTGGGCCAAATTTAATGTCAACCGATTGATTGGTTTTCCGATTAATCGGCACTGATTGCTGTTAACCTAACCCTCAAGTGTAGTTAGGATAGCAAAAATAAATATGCTATCACCTTTTTATTTAAAATGTATTTGTCCAATCAAACAAAAACGCTTAGCCTATGCAGTTAATACATATATTTTTAATTATGAGTGCATTTTAATGGGTGATTTTAAGGATAATAAACTACTTTTAAAATATGTTGGGCTACATCAAATCTTCTGAAGCAAAACCAGTTTAAATACACGGGTCAATTACATGATATTAACTTGTATTAATTTACATAGCTATGCATTTAGCAGATGCTTTTATTCAAAAGATTAACAAATTTACTAAATTATTCAAAAATACACTAAAAGGGCCATTTATATATACAATGACTTGAATACGTGACGCCATTCATTTTGATAATTGTTTCTTAATATCAAACAAAAAACTATTAAAAAGATACCAATTAATTCTTGACAAATATTTTTGCGTCAACATTTTCGCTTAATTAATAACATTTTCAAAACGTTTGCCTGCCAAATTAAAAGTCATGTGGTGAACATATTTGTAAAATAAATAAATAAACAAATATGCATTCGATGCCTTTTATTTATATAGCGCTTTTTACAATATAGATCGTTTCAAAGCAGCTTTACAGAGATAACAGGAAAATAATGCAACAATGTTTGTTTCTAGAAGAAAATATCATCACAGTCCAGCTTAAGTAAGTTCAGTGATGGTTCATTTTGTTGTATAAAAAAAAAGAAAAGAAAAGTTATTAATTCAGTTCATTTATATACATAACCACTCTGGAGAAACCGGGACGTCATCGTCCAGCTCAGTTCAGTTTTCATAATGGTGTCAATGCAGCAGAACAATAATATTGTTGAATATTAAATTAAATGTAATATTAATTACATTTAACAACTTAGCAAGCCGATGAGGCCTTCACAGGGAGAATATGTTCATTTTTAGAGTCACTAAATTAAAAACTTTTATTGAAAACAGTTGTCAACAACTTTTCCAAACCCAACATTAAAAAGTACATTTCTAACAATCTGGAACATGCGTTTTAAAGTCGATTTGTAGGTGTCCTATTGTGACCCATATCACAGGTGTTATGAAAGGAAATCAGTCTACTCTCTGTACATGCACAGATCTTTCAAGTTTAGCTGTGCAGGTTTTTCTTTCTGTCGTCATGACCAAAACCACATGTAGATCTTCCAAGAACCAAAAGGAGTCAAACGGGGCCTGTACGTCATTCGGAAGACTTTGAAAGAGTGGGTTTACTCTCCGCTGTTGTCATGTCTGACGCAGAGACGAGAAGGCTTGTGTGTGTGGCTGATAGTGCGGTGTGTGTCAGACAGATGTAGCCTACCTGTGGTGCAAAACTGATACTGAACTGGTTTAATACATGCTTAGTGCACTTTTGGGTAGGAAACCCCCCTCCCCCCAGCGAAATCAAAGCAAGTCAAAAAAAAAATATTTGACTGATAACTCAATAAAGTAATAAATTAAAACTAGATGTTGTGGTTTAATAGTAAAAAATGTGTTGAAAAAAGCAAAAGAACACTAGAAATCTTTAATAAGGGTAGATAGGGGGTTTTGATGAAACAATGTTGGACAAACACACACACACACTGCAGTTTAGCAACAGTCACATCCAAAAATTTCCAGCGATCAAGTCTCCTCAGAACATTTGGCCAAAACCCCTCAATTCAGATTAGTTTTACGATCTCTTTATGAACTTTTTGAAGCGTCAAAGTGGTAGTTGCGTAGCTGTCAATGGAGGGACAGAAATCTCTCAGATTTCATTACAACATCTTCATTTGTGTTCCGAAGATGAACGAAAGTCTTACGGGTTTGGAACAACATGAGGTTGAGTAAATGATGACAGAATTATAGACCATAAACACTGTCATTTCATAACAGGTACAAAATCAAGTTGTCCATCATATACGGCTGCAGAGAAGTCTGCCACTTTACTCTATGTCTCTCACTGGTCTTGTAATTTACATGGCATCCCTGCCAGACACTGCGACATCACCACGGTAACTCAGAGTAGGACAGATGGAGCGCTCAGCCCTCCTCCGAGCGTAACCAAGCAACAGAATCAACTTATATAATCAGCACAGCATTTCATTGATCAGTTATATGACTGGACGTCCGCAGCTTCTCTCTCAGAGCAAACTCACACTGTTGCATTAAAGTGATGCGGCAAGATCAGAAAAACATTTAAACTGATTGTTTTAAATAATAACTGGGATATTTATGTTATTTTAAATGTCTGTCTTTGTTGTTGTGGTTTTTGCAGGTTGTATTTCTGACATCATTTATGTATTTATTTATGTTTATGAACATATACATAATATATTTTATAAAAAAATAAAGTTATTTTTAGTTAAAAGCCATTTTAACTGTTAATTACCAGTGTTGGGGAAAGTTACTTTTAAAATTATTGCATTACAATATTGCGCTACTCCATAAAAAAGTAGCTTATCGGAAAATAATACGTTATGAAACACTTTTGTGTTACTTTTTCTCAACTGAGCTGGGCTTGCTTTGTGTTTTAATAACAAAAAAACTCTTACTTTAGCAAAAACAAACGTAAACACAAATATGATGTTTATATAAAAGTAATTTTTGCATATTCTTGGATCATCAAAGGTCAGCAACAAGGACATTGGTTAATAAAGTGAGATTAAGTACATAAAGTATATTTGTGTTATTTAACATAATTAACTATTAATATTCTGAGTTTGCATTTCAATGATTTTATTAATTTTGAGGAATATTGAATATTTTTTTGTGTGCAAGTGAGATGAGTAAATGCATGGTCACATTCAGTGAAGATCTAAAATAACCATCATGTTTACACACAACGCCTCTGCACTCAACATGGGGGCGAGAAAGCTGTCAGGCAATGGGAAAACAAAGTAACTTGCGTTACTAAGAAGTAACTCTGTTTTAACTGTTTTAAATTGAAAAGTGATGTGTTACTTCACAAGTTACTTGAAAAAAGTAATCGGATTAAGTTACTTGCAAGTTACGTTGCATTTCTTAAGTAGGCTACTTGTATATATACATATATATTAAATGCATTATGTGGTTTAAATAGCCTACTATGTAAGTCTTAAAATACGAAAACAATCCAACAGAAAAGGCCTTGCAACATTTTATTACACAAATAGTTTGCTCCAGCACACATGAGGAGCAGTAAAGGGTGATCATGTCATTCTCTCTGAGCACATTCAATCCATTATGCAATAAAGCCTGTCCCCTGTAGCCATGCATCTGAAAGACCCCTTTACCTCCAGAAACCCGTCCGACACACACTGCAGCAACAGATCTGCACATTCCACACACAACCCTCCTCGAGTGAAGCCTTCACAAACACAAGACATGAGGCATTCCTGCTGCCACTGACTGTTATCTGACTGACAACCAGTGCACACCATCAAGCATGTAAACTCACATCCTTGCGCTAGTTCTTATTCAGATACACTTCCTTTCAAGAACTTTAATATAGTTTAAAATTCTCAGAATGTTCGCCATTGAAAATATAACCGTCAATGTAATATTTGCATACTGGCTTGTTCTCCGTCCTTACATTTATTTGCATTTGCATGATGATTTCAACTTGATTAGCCTTGTCTTATACTTATTATACATAAACACAACATCTTTGCCGCATTCTCTTTAAACTGATTTCATTTACCCTGAACCGGAGAATTATCTGTAAGTATAACGCTATCATGTTGCTCCACTGCAAGTAAACACTGATATTTACCATCCATATGGAAATGCAAATCTAGTGTACAGCGTGAGCTGCAGTGTGTGAAGTAACCTATTGTGTTCAGAGCCTTTTCCAGCGGCATGTCACACAGCAGGGTTTTAATAACGGAAATAAACAGCAGAAGATACACGTCCATCGCGAGGATCGTGGTATGAGTGTCTTGACACACTGTAGCGAATGCAGTGTCAGTGAAGTGTGTGTGTGGCTGTAGCGCTGACATGAGTAGCATACAGTGAACAACACACATATTCCACACTTGTGCCTATACTCGCCATGTCTGCTGCAGAAGAAGCATCTATTAATACACACTCACCTAAACTACCGGCGAAACCGTCCATTTCTCGGGTAAATATCCAGGGAGATATTCCTGGAGCGACTGGGGGAATTCGTCCTCTATGTGAGAAGAAAGCCTCGAGCTCGTGTAATGTCACGCGGGCTCCTCTGATCGGCTTAATGGCAGGAATAAAGGGACGACCGGCTGGCGGCTGGTTCTCCGTCCGGGTAACGAGGCGCTTCTCTGGGGCAGTCGATCACGGAGTCTCCCTGAGCTTGAGCTGCTCCACCACGGTCGGTTACTCCTCCTGCGGGCGAGGGAGGGGGTTTAAGGAGCGCTGGGCTTTCGCGTTTCCGACTCCGCCTGCTTTGGCACGGCGAGCTTCCCTTCAGACTGGCCGAGCCCGAGTGCGCCACAGTCTGACACAACGGAGCATCTCAATATGACAGCTCTAGTACTCAAGTGCACACTGCTGTAGCTACTCTACTCCAAACGTCATTTGTTTGTTTATGTTTGTTTGTTTTGCTTGTCCCTCAAATAGTTCACATGCTGCTCCATGTCATTTACCCATGCATTTAATGCATGCATTGAAATCATATAGGCCTACAAATCGGTATGAGGTTGTTTTTTTTGTTGTTGTTTTTTTGGACATGGGGCCGTTCAACGGTGGTGATATCGTGTTTTTGTACTGTGGCAAGCCGTTTTGACTTTTATTCATTCCCAGGATTGATATAAACAATTCAATTTTCACTAGTTAAAATGCTAATTCTTGAATTAGCCTACATTTCTCTAGTAATAATGGGAATTCTTGATATCAACAATGACGTCATCACTCGCAGAAATGCGAATTTTTGATATCAATAATTACATTTCAACTGGTAAAAATAATACTTGAAAAAATATAATTCTTGATATCTGTAATTGTATTGTCCCTAGTTAAGTGTCACCATAGGCTGCCATTCAAATTCAATTGTTGATCAAGGATTGATTTCTTACCAGTTGAAAATTTTGGAATTTCTGATATGTGAAATTAAAATGTCAACTATAGTAAGAAATCAACTCTGGATATCATCTATTGAATGTGAATGGCAGTTAGTGAAAATACAATTACAGATATCAAGAATTATTCTTTTTACCAGTTTAAATTTAATTCTTGATATCAAAAATTCATATTTCTGCGAGTGATGACGTCAGTGTTGATTTCAAGAATTCACTTTTTCACATTCTTTACTAGTGAAAAAATTGCCATTGTTACTAGTAGAAATCTAACTAATATAAATAATTAGTATTTTAACTAGTGCAAATTTTATTGTTGATAACAAGAATTCATATCAAGTCAAAACGGCTTGCCATATACCCTGAAAATACCACTGTATTCTTCTGAAATACCGTGAAATACCAACACTTACAAAAAGTACTTTGGAGTACCATGTAGTAAAAAACAGGGTTGTATTTGAAAGTCCATGGAATCTAAAAGATTGAGTCGTTATTACATATAGACTTCATTACATTGAAGTCCACTTTATGGAGAAAAATCCTGGAATATTTTCCTCAAAAACCTTCATTTCTTTTCGACTGAAGAAAGAAAGACATAAACATCTTGGATGACGTGGGGTGAGAAAATTATCAGGAAATTTTAATTTTGAAGTGAACTTATCCTATAAGTGGTCTAAAAAATGTATTTATCTGTATACTGTATATATCGTCTGTGGAAGGCGTAAGAGCATAAAATGTTCGTCCAGTCATTGCATTCGGTCTCCAAAAATTGTCTAGCCTATCTTTAAGTGTTAAAATTGGGTTATCAATTTAGATCAATAGTCCACTTTACACATTCTACTAACTAACTGTACAACTACATGTCCATTAACTCTCATTATCAACATGTATTAGTAGACTGTCTAACACTTTATTTTGATGCTCCTCTACAGACATTCTACTTACTATAAGTAACTTTGCAACTACAGTATGTAAGCTTATTCTGCTTACCCTAACCCTAACTTATAGTTAGAATGTTTAAGTGGACTATTGAAATAAAGTGTGACCAAAATGTGTTGGGAGAACATCTGCCCCACAGCTGCCCACTGTTGGTTTTGAGCACATTGTGTTGGTGTTCAGTACACACTGGACCATTAAGGTAGTGGGCAAGGAAAATGTACACCATGGATTGTTAAACTATTGCAGCATGGCTGCAAAGTCCACATGCCAAGAAATGTTTCACATGAAGAATTCCAATGATTTAAGAGGTATCTATAAGCTATAAGTGTTTCTAGAGCAGAATGCAGGGTTTTTCCATGCTGGAGATTCAAATCATTTGATTAAGCGAATACAGAAGGCGCCAGAAACATCATGTCGTCTGGCCACTCAGCACAGGACCGATTAGAAAACAGAAATGCCAAAGGTTCAGACTATTGTGTTGGCCAAAAAGGCGCTCTCTGTGAGTGACTGCCGCTTCATGCTGAGTCTTTGCAAATATGAGGACTCATTGTCATATGAGCTGGTGCACTGGATCAGGACAGAGGCAAGATTGTCCTCAAGGTTGACCCTTGAATCAGCATGATGGGATCTTCTCTGAGAGATTATGGGAAAGAGACGTGTGGATCTCAGGCTGAGCATGCACCGTCTCCCGAATCCCGATGACTTCCCGGCAGAGTCCGATCTCTCACTCCAGACAGAAAAAGAGAAAATCAGACAAAGCTCTCTTTATTTTTCACTCCTGAAGGAAGAGGGAGGGACAGAAAAGGACTGGAGAAATCTTTCTTTCTCTTTGTTTTCTCTCTCTGTCTCTGGGCCAGTGAAGAGAATGACATGCAGGCCAAAGCTGTGTCTCTACTGTGCAGTAGCTCTTTTTCTTCCACTTTGAAGATGATGAATCACCCAAACTCCAGCCAGTATGGTGGGCATTAATAATTCATCAGATGACGATGGGAGTTTAAGAATATGTTGAGTGTTAAACATTTGCAGTGAGTCATCCCATACATTACGGCTAACTGTTGTTGCCTGGCGTTATTCTCCTTCCAAGTCTCTTTTTGGCAAATTACACAGCATTCAAATGGCCCGATCCAGATGTGCAATGCATTGTTTTGCCAACCTAAGCCAGTTTAAACCTCACCTTAACCTTTGCTGGGAATACAAATGAATCCGAGTAAAATTCAATACACATTCCCTGTCAGAGATGATGAATAGAATATTTAACATAATTTTACAGTATACCACTGGAGTACAGAAGCATGAGTTCATGATCCATTCACCAAAAACTTTGCCAGTGAATGTGTTTGACGTGATAGACTGAACGTGTGCAGTTGTAAATAATTACTTAAATTAAATGATAATGTACATTAAATAGTGCACATTAATACAAAAAAAGACACAAAGTATAATAATATAAAAAAGAAAAATTACCTAATTGAAAAAGAAAGCACAGCCTAAAGGTTCACTGCATTTGTAAAATAGCTATAATCACAGCTGGATCGATAACACTATTTCCCTTTTAGTTCGGTCACGTTCGACGTAGTCGGACGTACCGTACTGATTGGGATCACGCTTAGGGAGCCTGTCATCTCCCTAATGCACATTGGTGTGGGAGAATTGCATCTCACGCCCTGCCCCGCAGCCAGGGTATAAATACGGAAGTGGATGCAAGCACCAGTTGTCTTTCGCTTCGGAGCCGATCGGTGTCGATGTCTCTGAAGAGTGTTGTTGTGTACAATGAGCGAGTGTGTCGGTGTTCTTCTGGAAGACTCTCCCAATGCTGGTGGCTTCTACAGCGCGAGTGCAGCGGTGATCGCGAGCTTCTGAGCTCTCAACTGCTGTTTTAACAGCATCAAATTTCTGTGTTTGTTGACGGTTGGTTAAAGGGCGAAGAAGAGAGTGCTTCACTGTTACAGTTTCACTGTCAGTGTTGCCACTGCCATTCCCCTGTGTGGTCAGGCACTGGTGACGGGTCCCATTTCCTGAAAGAGCAACACGGGTGCGTTTGCGTCTTTTTCAAGATGCCATTCCATCCGTGCGTTTCTGGGTGCGGTAGGGCTCTGTCCCCCTCTGACGGTCACAATAGTTCCATCACGTGTTTGGGCTTAAAGCATGCTGAAGCAGCTTTTGTGGATGGCTCATGTTACCATTGCGGGAATATGACCATCTCGGTGTTGAGATCGAGATTCGCATTCGTCCGCGAAGGTGGAGTCCCCATTCCCATGCCTCTGCTCTAGTGTTTCTTCTGGGCCAACTTTCCAGAAGAAGACTGGAGTGCCGTGTGGGTTGGGTGATCTGAGGATCACAGTGAGGGATTCCCTGCCCGGCAAAGCCCCATGGGACGGGCATGTAGTAGCAGGGGTCTGGGCAGGCCTCCAACTGCATTGGCATCAATTGCCTCGAGTTGCTAGTAGTACACCTTGCTTTGAGACGCCGTTGCTCAGCAAGCCCGTACTGGTCTGTACAGACAACACTGCTATTGTTGCGCTACGCTTCCCTCGCATGTCCTTGGAGTCAGAAGCTTCTGAGGTCGCTTCATTCCACTTATTTTTCTGGCCTACTCAATCGTGCCGCCGACGAGGCCTCACGACAGCCTGTGGCCCAGGGAGAGTGGAGACTCCATCCCCAGGTGGTCCAGCTGATCGGGGACCACTTCGGGGCCGCACAGTTACATCTGTTTGCCTCACCGGACTCGTCCCGTTCCCAGTTGTTTTGACCGAGCGGAGAATCTGTACACAGCACTGTGCTAAGTCAGGGAGGAGAAAGAGCAGGTCTTGCTAGTTGCCCCTTATTGGCCAAACCGGACCTAGTTCCCCCGAACTTATGCTCCTCTCGACAACACCTTCCTAACCCATTCCTCTGAGTCAGTTCTCAGGGACCGGGCACCGTTGGCACCCGCGTACAGACCTCTGGAATCTCCATGTCTGGTCCCGAAATTATGGGATGCAGAGGTTCTAGGTGATCTATCACAACATGTCGTTGACACCATCACTTCTGCGAGAGCACCCTCTACGAGGCATGCTTACGCCCTGAAGTGGAACCTGTTCGTTGAGTGGTGTTCTTCTCACCGAGAAGACCCTTGAAGGTGTTCGATCTCTTCCGTGCTTTCTTTCCTGCAAGATAGGTCGGAGCGAGCGCTGTCTCACTCCACCCAATTGTATGTTGCCTCTATGAATTGATGCACATCATGATGCAGTGGATACAAATCCATGGGGAAGCACGATTTGATCGTCAGATTCCTGAGGGGAGCAATGAGACTGAATCCACCTTGCGCCCCCTCTATACCCTCTTGGGACTTATCTTTGGTGCTACTGCACTGCAGAGACCAACCTTTGAGCCACTCCAAGCAGCTGAGTTAAAAATCTGTTTTTAAAAGAACAGAATATGTCTTTCAAGAGGGTAGGAGACC